GGATGTTTAAAGAAATTCCAAATTTCAGAACCTCTCTTCAATGATTTGGTGCTGCTATTCCTTCCTTCTCAGCTTCCCCTCACCACTTCTTTCAGTTGCTTTTCCTTCCCTTGCCTTCTGCTCTTCCTACAGCTTTTTCTTGATTCAAATGAACCTGATTCAAGTCAATTTGATTCAAAATTTAAAAGAAAGAGAAGTAAAATTTTTTAAAGACGGACGTGGTCAGTCATTCCAGAGGGAGAGGATGGATGGGAGCCCCAACACCATCTACCCTGCTGCCTTCGCCATCTTAAAGTTCTCTTTATCAGGAGTATGCCCTGGATGCATCATCCATTGCCCTGATGTCTGCCTTCAGAGCCAATGGCCTCTTGTTAGAATCAACTCCCACATACATTATTCAGACTTTGTGCACTTAAGAGTGATGACATCACCCACTTACTCCAGACTAAACTGCTAATATCCTCACTTAAATAATATTCTGAGCTCCTCAGCTGAGGTGATATGGTATGCGCTAGTACTTGGGAGTAAATTGAGAGTTGATGATAAGATGGGACACCAATGTTTAAAATCGAGAAAATGGCAATGGCTCAGAAGTACCTGTCACAGAAATCCTCAAAATCAACAAGTATAACAATCTGGCATGGTGCATTACGAGAAACACATGTATTATTTGGACTGCAAATCAAAACATGTCGTCATTTTTATTTTCTAATTCATTAGTCAGACAATTGGCAGAATGGATAAAATACTTTGGCACAGATTTTGTGGTAGTAATAACACTGAAACTGTCGGCATTCATTGTTGGTATTGCTCTTATATTCTCAGCAACTTCCGGTGTTCATACATACACTGCCCATGCTTCCATCTGAAGCTTCCCAGAATACAATCACCACCCAAACATGAAACAATTTGTCCTTTTATGCTGTTGGTATCGCTGTTAAAATCTATGAGAAAGCAATTCTTTCTAAGATGTAAATGGCTTAGTGAACAGCGTGCTAAGTCCACAATTATTGCTGAGAATGTCATGGTCCCTCAAAAACAAATTTTGTGTTTGTGAAATTTGAATATTCCCATTTAAGATAAAATTTGGAAATGTATTTTCACAAAGTCTGTACAACTTCAGCTTCTCTTAATCTCTGCATGTTTCATTACTCATCCGCAAAATTTTGTGTAAGTGCGTATATGTTCATGTATTTTACTTCCTGATTTGCTTCGAGAATATTTTAACATTGCCATTTATTTGATGGCATAATTGTTGCCCTATGCCTCGAGATCTTCTGATCTCAGTGCTAGATTCAAAGTTATGTAGGGAAAAGAGAAATCCATAACACAGTGATTGCTTGAATTTGTGGGCAATGTTACTTAAGGTCAGTGGCATGCACCATTGTTTTGACAGTCAATGCTAAATCTCGACCTTGATCTGAACGTCTTAAGTTCAATCAACACAAGAATACCACACATTACATAGAGGATGGAGTCTTCAGTTCTTTCTCATCTCCATTATTCTGAAGCATTCTTAAATAATGCCGAAATGCTACTAATGTAGAAAATGCTCATCACACAACAGTGAGTTCACAGTTGGAGACAGAACAAATGCGTACGCATTCTAGGTTTGGATCCAAACAATGAAGAGCCAATTCTGAAAAGTTATGCACACCCAAGATATTAACTTGCTTCCTTATTCCATAGATGAAAATTAACCTGCTGAATATTCCTAACTTTTATTGCCTTCAGATTTTCAGTATTGTCAGTAATTAGCATATTATTTCCTGCTAATGATGGTCTGTACCCAGCTAGGACGTGGAATGATGAAATCCTAGTTTGATTTTTTGTCATTATTTACGTGCTTCAGAAGCAATTAAATTTTGAATTGGCATTTTGGTTATTGAAACTGCTCAGTTAATGAATTATTTTCAAGCTTCAGAACAGTGACACTATATGGAAACAAAATGGCCATAAATCACAATAAGCAGACAATTCTGTAGCTTAACCTCCACATCACACATTGAATGTATAACATTCAGAAGACATTTGTTAGTTGTATCATCTTTGACATCTTAGTCAGTCACTGGTCATTTCTTTAGCCAAGTGAATTAAAATCCACACGCAAACATTTCTGAACAAATTACTAAATGGAAATCTACAGTTATAATTAAAGCACTGTCTGATTTCTCCCCTATTTAACCCATGGAAAATAAATTTAAGATTCTTCAACTATTACACTAGAGATTAGTTTTTTTTAAAGAGAATGAAAATGCCGAGAGCCTAGTGATAGCCTCCACATTTATTGGTTTCAAGGTGACTGTCTAGTACTTAATCTGCAGAGGGTCGCTCCACAGTTAGTGCAACTTGCTTTGTATCCCTCTCCCCAAGTGCTCAACTTGTTTGCAAGCAAGTTCCAGTGGTGGTGACTGGCTGTGCAGATCCTGGTCCTCCTCTACCGGTTTAGAATGGACCACTCACCCATGGTAGTTCAAAACGTGCCAATCAATTGATGGGGTTTGTCACATGGAACTTCCCTTGTTTTGCACTCCTTGATCCAAAGGATGTCTGCTGATGCATTTTGCTCAGGAAGGTTGTTTCATATGGAAAAATGAGATGGAAGGTGGACAGGAAGTCGATCAGACAGGTCATTACAGAGTGAGAAACTGGGGGTACAGCATGGATAGCTTCAGTCAGTTTCGGAGATTTCACTGCTGATGGATATGTGGGGGGAGTGACATATGAGAGGACAGGAAGCAAGGGAAGGGCTGCTGAGTGGAGCAGTTACAATATGCACTGTTGCATTCAAGTGAATCTCAATAAAGTGGGTCTTTATGATGCCCTGTGACTGACAGGTTAATTACTGAACTGAAAGGAAGGCTCAGGTCACATACTGGGGGCCACCTGTTGATCTATTGACTATATTGAAAAACACTGGCATGGAAAGAAGATAAACATTACTAAAAGGAGACAGGTCAGTAAAGCTTTTCACTTTGAACTGATCAGGACTAGGAGCAAGAAAAAGAGACTTGACAAAAGAGACACCAATTTATATAACAGGAGAAGAGGGTGCTGATTGATTGCGCCATCATTAGCTTGAGGATGCAAGAGCAGTTAACTGTTGATCTTAGTTCACAGAATAAATTCTGATTAGTTATTGTGTTGCTGCGGGAATTCATCAGAAATTGACAGGCCCCATGATTTCTACTTTCTCCAATGTAGACGATGTAATGGCTGTATAAATTCCTTTTGCCTACATAAAGCAAGGGCTTGAAAAGGGCCAGTGGTACTATTCCAACCACCAAACCAGAAGGTCCAAGTTTGAGTCCTGCTTGCCCCGCAAGTATCCTATAACATGCCTGAACAGTTCTATTCATTTTTTTTTTTAAGAAATGGTCAACCACTTTTAGTTCTCAAAGTTGCCCAGTACACCTCAAATTACTTCGATCATGGAAGGTACCTCAAGTATTTGAACTACAGATGAAACTCTCCGTCTTAGGTGGTTAATTTGCAGATAACCTATGAATGGCCTTCTCCACTGAGAAGATACTACCATTGAGCCATAAATATTTCGGCCTTCCACACAGATGAGAAATGTGGAGTGTTTCGGTGCAGGTTTACTGCCAGGTAATCTTAGGCTGTACTCCTCACAAGGGCCTGACTGTATCAAATGACACATCCCACTGATGATTTGTTTTGGGGAGAATATGGATCATTCTCAATCAGCCCTCGCTTGCAAGCCTCAAACAATTATCAACAACATTAACTGTAATTTAGCATTTGGACAGAATTTGTTAAATAATCCAGACTATGCTAAGAATTATGCGAGTAACCAATTAAAGCTGATCAGTCACGCTCAGAATGTATTACATTTATACTTGCTAGAAACAATTCATTTGACACACACAGGACGCTGTTTTATATAGGCAAAAGGAAATCATGCATAATTGCAGATTTTTATTGTAGAAATGGGTCATGGAGGCTGCCAAACTCTATGTTCCCATGGCAACAGCCTGGCCAATTACAGGAGGTGGAGGGGGTGCATGACCTAGTGCTATTACCACTAGGCTATTAATCCAGAGATTCAGGTAACATTCTGGGACCCAGGTTCAAATCCTACCTTGGTGGATGACGGAATTTGAATTCAGTAAAAATCTGGAACTAGGAGGCCAGTGATGACCATGAATCCTTTACCAGTTATCAGAAAAAAAAACCCACTTGGTTCACTAATGTTCTGTAGGGAAGGAGACTGCAGTCCTTATCTGGCCTGGCTTACATGTGATAACAAACCAAACGCAGTGTGGCTGACTTTCAACTATCCTCTGGATAATAATTGCTGGCCTGGCCACATCCCCTGAATAATAGAGTCTGTCTGGTTTGAAAACAAAGATTGACAATTAACTGTTCCTGTTGCATCTCCATGCCAATGAAGATGCAACCAACCAGCACTCACTTCTCATGCTAGACAACTTAATGCCCTTTACTCGCCTAAGTCAGTTTCTTGCATCCTTGTCCTAATGACTGCAATTCAAAAGGCCTCAACTTCTTGTCTCCTTTTTAGCAATGTTTAAAATCTATTTAATTATTTCTGGTTGGAATAAGAAAAAAAAAAGAAGTGAAGAAAAAGTTTTTTTGAGTTTTAATCTCTTGGTAAAGAATCAACTCCTATTAGAAGACGGCATAGTTGGAACAATGAACATGTCATAACACACTTTTCATATTTGGAAGAAAGTGATATAGGAAAGTTCAAAGAAACACTGACCAGACGAGGATCATAAGAGGAACATAAAATTGTAATCAAACATAATAGTGTAATTTCAATGAAGAACAGACTAAGGGGGAAGAAAGAATGAGAATGATAAAACTGAAGAGAACAATGATAAGAGTGTTAAAAAGGGCAGGGGGGCAGATAGTAGCAAACAAAAACTATCCTAAGACACCGAGCAGCCTTATGGAGTTAGCAACTTCTATAGAATGTGACCATTAATCTATTAATCAGGTTATACACAAGCACTTACTGACTTGGAAATTTTTTTGGCTTCTTCTCCCAGAACAGGACAATGTTTCTCGTACCTAAATGACAAACAACAAATGTATACCTTACCATATAATAAAGGATGCATTTTGGAGGATGAGGAACAAAAAAAGTACAATGCTACAGAAACAGAGATCTGAGGATTCTCACACATACAAACTAAGAACGTGACAAAGCTAGTTGACAAAAGCCGCAAAAGACTTCATAAAAACACAAGAATCCAAGTAGAAGCAAACAGTAGAAAAGCCAAAAGAAATTCTGCATAACCCCTATATAACGCAACAAGACACCACAAGAGTATTGAGCTGACCTTCACACTTCAGGAAGGAGGGAGCGCAATAAAGATTTGGCAGATGGATTCCTCAAATCACAGGACTGACATATTAAGAGACACTGGATTGGTTAGAACAATAGTCACTGGAGTTCATCAGATATGGGGAGAGTCTCAACAGAAACCAAAATCCAAACAGGACTTGACAAGGTAAACACAGGAAGGACGTTCCTGGTGACAGGACTGTAGGAAGTTCAGAGTAACAGAGGAATATTTGGCTGCTAGTCCACAGACCAATGAAGGCCACAGGACAGTTTAATAGGTTATAAGAGCAGGGAGGTTACGGTGAGGCTGTACTGAAACTTAGTATTTCAGATATGGCATAACCTATGTACAGTTCTGGTCACTGCATGATAGTAAGGACATGATTGCATAGGAGGAGGTGCTGAGGAGATTCACTAGGATGTTGCTTGAGTTGGAGCACTTTAACTAGGAAGACAGGCTGGATTGGTTTGGATTGTTTCTTTGAGAGCAGAAAAGGGAGACAGAGGACCTGATTGACGTCTGTAAGATTTTTACAGATGAGGAGCAATGGCAGGGCAGATAAAAAGCAGTTGCTCCTCTGCGTTGAAGGGTCAATAGCAAGGGGGCATAATTTTAAGATGAAAGTCAGGAGGTTGAGGGGAGATGTGAGGAAAAATGTTTTCAGCCAGAGAGTGGTGGAAATCTGGAATGCACTGACTGGGAGATTAGTTGAGGCAGGACACCTCACAACCTTCAAAAAAAAAGGTATGTGGATGTGTCACAACATTCAAGGTTAAAGGCTAAAATCACAAGGGACATAGATAAAGTGAATAGCAACAGTCTTTTCCCTAGGGTGGGGAGTTCAAAACCAGGGGGCATATATTTTTAAAGTGAGAGTAGAGAAATTAAAATGGGATCTGAGGGGCAACTTTTTCCACACAGAGGGTAGTTTATTCTACATACAAACTGTCAGAGGAAGAAGTGGTAGATGCAGGTACAGTTACAACATTTGAAAGACATTTGGAAAAGTACATGAACAGGGAAGGTTTACAGGGATAAGGGCCAAATGCAGGCAAGTGGGACTAATTTAGTTTGGGAAACTTAGTTGGCATGGACGAGGTGGACCAAAGGGTCTGTTTCCATGTGTATGACTCTATGACGAGTGCTGAAAAGTGGGACTAGTGTAGATTTACAACAATTTTTGTCAGCGTAGAATCAATGGGCCAAATGGCTCCTTCTGTTCGAGATGACTCTATGACTGGAGAATCCAGAACCAGGGGTTGGAGTCTAAGGATACAGGGTAGGCCATTTGGGACAGAGATGAACAGAAATTTCTTCATCTAGACAGTGGTGAGCTTTTGGAATTCTCTGTCACAGAAAGTGGTTGAAGCCAAAACACTGAATATTTTCATGGAGATATAATTCTTGGGGCTAAAGGGATAAAATGGTATGGTGAGAAAGTGGCAACAGGATGCTGGGTTGGATGATCAGCCATTATCATATTTAATGGCAGAATTGACTCAAAAAGGTCCAATGGCCTATTCCTGCTCCTATTTTCTATGTTTCTCAGAAGACTAACAAGGCGTAAAGAGGAAACTTTGCTAAGGACAAGAGACTTGAATTATCTGGATCATTAACTTTTGTGCTCCAACTGAACTGGGAACAGCACAGCAATAATCAATCTTCACACTCCACAATTGTAAAAATAACCCATTTAACCAACAAGATGATGAATTTGCCTGCCTGACTACATTCAGAACAAAAACCATTCATAATTCCTTCACACTCCTGACTTGTACCTTGTAGATAATGGTTAGACTTTGGGGAAATCGGGTGGTGAGTTACTCACTGCAAGTTTCCTAGCCTAATGTTACCTGGGTCCAGTGACAATACCACCAGGCCATTGCTTTCCCATGGACAAAGCTAGATTTAAAATTGCCAATGTCATCCTGTAAAATAGCCAAACGAAAAGAACTGCACATGTTGTAAATCAGAAACAAAAAACAGAAATTGCTGGGAAAGCTCAGCAGGTCTGGCAGCATCTTCAAAGAGAAACAGAGTTGACATTTTGGGAAGGGTCAAAGGACCCGAAACATTAACTCTGATTTCTCTTCAGATGCTGCCAGACCTGCTGAACTTTTCTAGCAATTTCTGTTTTATCTGTGAGCCAAAACATTTGTTCTTTTACTTCAGTAAAATCTGCTAACTCAAAACATACAGTTGGGTAAAAACGAAGTTTATGGATGATGGAGATTTGAAACAAAAACAGCAAGCGTTACAGAAACTCAGCAGGTCTGGCAGCATCTGTGGAGAAAGAAACAGAGTTTACGTTTCGTCTAAACTGAAGAGCCATATCGGACTGGACACAAGCTCTGCTTCTCTCTCCACAGGTATTGCCAGACCTGCTGACATGCTTCAGCATGTTTTTTTTTATTGCATACACTTGGGTCCATTGAACAACAATACCACTGCCTTTGCAATACTCATAACTAGAGGACTTAAAAGGAATTTTTAAAAGTTGTGTTGATTTTGTTTCAAAAGGTGAGTTCCTGACACTTATTGGAGAAACTCAATGTCACATGTGTTTCAACACCATGGGAATGTGGGAGATTCCAAAGTTGACCTCAACCAGGAGGGTACAATGTGCCATAACAGGACTCTTCATCACTGGACATTGTAAGTCAGGGTGAGCGGGCGGAAAGAAAAAGGGTAGAGGTTGACAAAGGAAGACATGGAATCTTTTAGGGCTTTGCTTGTAATCACTATCCAAAGCCTAATGCTGAAAAAGTGCATATTTAAATTTTAATCAGCAAAGAACAGGTCAAAGATTGCCTTGAATGCTGTCACTTATAATATCTGTTCCTACTCTAATGCATTAAAAATGACCACTTGAAATGAGTCACCTAAGGCTCACGGAACATTTGAAATTCAATCCAAGCCAGAGCTTTTCCAGCTTTAAAACACATGAGACCTTCAAATGCTTTTTCATGCATCTATGTAGATAGAAGGTAGTGTTAGAGAGCAGAAGTACACTTTGATGAAGGACTTTGTTTCCTCATAAATCTTGATAAAGCTGGGGGTAAAAACTACCAAGTCATCAAATTCAAGATTTTAAGACAGTCAACACCAAATGCATAGTGGCATTCAGTCTATTACTCACATCTTATTCTCAAATTACAGAAAAGGATACATACGTAAAAAATAATTTAAGCAAGGTTTTCTTACCAAATGGAATAACAGTACTGGAAAAATTCTCAAACTACCAATTCTTTGACAATGATCAGTCAGTTAAATGAAGCCTGCACTTCCACATCAGAATTTCCCTCACTCTTTTAGACTGTATGGAACTCTTGTTCATGTATCATTTGATAATAACATCCTGTAGCCCAATTGTTGCAGACAGTATAGAACTGAGCATGTTGCAGTTAGTTTCCAATCTACAAATCCACCTTTTACAGAAAAGTCCAAAGATTATTTGTGGCAACGAACAGGAAGGAGTACTCATTATTGATCAGGTCAGGTCAACGGGATGAATTTTGAATTGTTTTAAGAAAGAGATGGTATCTTTTAACTCCAGCAGGCCCATGGTCTGCTGGACAGATGAGAAACTGTAACTGAACCAGGACCAATTATTTTGTGCAACAAAATAGTCAGTATTGTCAGGACAGAAGGAGAAATGGCAGAAAACTAGTAAATAAATTGATATTTTAAATACGTGATTGAATAATTTATAAAAATCAGAACACTGTATATACATTAGCTGCAAAGTAAGAAGTCAGATGTGTGAAAAAATACCAACTTGTGAGCAAAAGTTATTGGTCAGAAACAAAAAGGTACTATAGCAACATGGATATCAAAATGATGACAGACAGGTAACAGAAAGCAGAGATTAATGAGGGCTTTTCAGACTAGAGGAAGGTGTGTGAATTCCCGAAAAGTTGGGAACATTGTTTTTCCTGATGCACATTAAAAAAAGGTCCAGACCTTGGTGTGTAGGGCACAAATTGAAAATCTGTAAATAGGTCAAACTTGACAATATTGTCATCTGGTGAGGAGATGAGTGTGGAACTTCAAAAAGACACAAACAATTTAGCGGAATAGATGGACAAATGCTAAATGGTTCATTTTGGCAGGAAGAACATGGGAAAATCATGAAACACTGGTTTGACCTCATCTGGACTCCTGTGTTTGGTCTGGGTGCCACACTTGAGGAAAGGCCTTAGCAGTGCACAAAGCATTCATGTGTCGTTACAATGACGTGGAACTTTGTTAATAAATTGAGACTATTCCCTTGCAGCAGAGGAGGTTGAGAAAAGATTTGAGAGAGATAATCAAAATCCTGAAGGGTCTGGACAGAGGAGTTGGGAAATTCTGTTCCTGCTCATAGCAAGATCAAGAACACATATTTAATGTAATTTGTAAAAGAAACAACGGAGGAAGGAGAAACAACATTTTAAAGGCAACAAGTGGTTAAGATCTAGATTGCACTGTCTGAGAGTAACTGTGTTGGTTCAAGAGGGACATTCAAGAGAGAAATGGATTATTATCAGCAAGGTAGAAAATGCAAAGTCAGAGGTTGGGGGGAAATGGAACTGTGCACATTACTGATTTGGAGAACCAGTGCAGACATTAAAGAAAACTCAGCGATTCTTTGTAGACACTTAATCCAACATGGTGTTTTATTGGTTAACAATTTCAAATGCCATACTGGAAACTCAACTGTCAAAGCTTGCAGATGGCACA